AACAAATATTAAATTATAGGCCAACGATATGCTATGCTGCAAATGAAAATGATGACTGCTTCTTTGATACATAATTTCTATTTGGAACCCGTCGATTATATAAAGGATGTTCGGCTTCAGGTTGATATCGTACTTCATCCTCATCCACTTCGTGTACGATTTGTTCCTGTTTTGCAAAATTAATACAAACAAAAAGCAGGAACAAATCGTTCTTTCCATATAAATACTTTTTCCGTTTTTTTTTTAAAAGATATAAAGTAACTAGAAGTAATCTATCATTTTTCCTTTTTTACAGTAATAATTTGCAATATAAACTTGTTTTAAAATAATTAAATGTTAAAATGCATACAGATAACTTATCTATGAAAGAACTAACTTATTAAAAACATAAATGTAGATGTAAAATTATTATAAACATAAATGTAGATGTAGTTCATTATATCATCGGATACATATGTATACAATGAATGGATATATAAATATTACTGCATATAAATACTAAATAAAAATGTGTGTAATTCGTTTCCGTAAATATTATTATTTTTAAAGAAACATCCTCTCAAGAAACGTCTTCTGTGTGAACTGTCATTATCGTGGCAATCGCAAGCGATATAAACAGCGTTTAATTTCGCAACTGCGTACATTTTACAAGCATTTCGACGTCACATTACACGCAGAACTTTTCCTTCGCGCGAAATCCATCGAAATGGCAATACGCACGATAATAGCACGAACTTATCTATGACAGAGATTTATTCATTTATTTGCGAATTTCTCTACGGGAAAACCCGTGACGTTGACGCGAACCGACTGCTACATGTCTGGCGGTTGATTATTTCCAAGGAAGGTGGATTCGCCGCGTTTTTTCGTATCTCTCTTTTGTATCTCTGTGCTTGAATTCGCGCGAAAACGTCTTCGTAGTCCCAGGACAAGACCTTCGGACCTCTAGAGAGAGGCGGTACGCACAACTGCATAAAAGAAACAACTTCGAGAGATTCATGCGCATGCAACATTGTCGTCCCCTTGGATTCGATAATAATTATCGACCTTGCGGCAAAAAAAAGACCCGCTAGAGAGAAATACTAATGCGAGACAATGCAGCCGCCAGAGCGATTGAAGTATATACGCTTTGTTCGCATCGCTAACGTTCATCAATTAGCTCTCGGAGCGTGTCAATCTAGGAATTCTAGAAAGATATTTTATTCATCAAAACAATATTGATGGAAACTATAAATAATAAATAATACTACAAAAAAATTTTTATATTTTAACAACTAGCTTGAGCTTCCAACAAAATTATTTTCAGATTTGTATCCAACAAAATTTCAGCTCTTTCAGTAGAATTATTTTTTGGACTTCTTTGGAAAAAAATTACACTATCAGTGCAATTCCTAATAAAGTGAGCGATAAGATTAATGAAACGTTGGCATAACCTTAACGGCGATAATCTTTTAATATCTTTGAAAATAAGACATAAACGGCTCTATTTAATTAACTTTATCATTTTTATTAACTTACCTTATATTATAATAAAAAATAAATATATATATATATTAATTATATATAATATTGACGATATATAATTGAGAACAATGATCGACGCAGTCATTCGTGCGTAATAATTAACGAATGTATTATTCGAGACATATTATTTATTACATAAAAAAACAACAAAATTAAATAAAATTAAGTTTCTACTCCGTTCGAGCCTTCATCATGTTCCAAAATAGATTCAAAAATTAATCGTAACGATTACATGCAAAAGAGCAAAGTCTCTTCAATTTCGCATTTGAGAAGCATCATTGTTAGTTATTTATATTATTAATTTGATTACATCTTATTTTTACGTCTTGTTTTTACGTTTCCACATTTCATCATTCAAAAAAACTATAAAAAACTAAAAAAAAAATATATATATATGTATATATACACATAATGAAAATGTGTATATAGATAGTGTATAAACGTATGCGAGTGTTTACAATGTACTGAGCTCAAATCCAAGAATTTACTAACAATAAATCTAAATGACTGTGCGGATCAGTCATCCTTTGCGGAAGCGAGATTGAAAGAGAAAAAAATTATACATCGTGTTTACGAGAAAGGAGAAAATGGTTCTGCGTTCGGAAAATACATTTTCTGGCGAGGTGAGCATAAGACTGAATCCGCGTTTGGGAAGCAGGTGCCTTTTACGAGAGACATAATTGCGCTATTGCTGATTTTTCTCTCGATGACGTGTTCGAGGCCAAAACGAAAATACAATCAAAGTGGTAACGTTCATGCCATAATTTGATCATTACATACAGAGACAGAAAAACGCGTTCATAACATCGTGTTCCTTATGCAACACTAACGCTGACATTTATATTTACGTATAAACGTAAATCAAGGCAATTACAAGATCTTATTCGTATTACCAGTTTCACACCTTCATGAATTAACGTCACGTCGCATGAAAATGTGAATCACGTCTTAAAAATGAAGAAATACATTAACTGACAACGGTAGCGCTATATCACAACCAATTTAATATCACGCGCGTAACGACTTCGTTATCGCGCCAATAAAGACTATAAAAATCTGCAAACTATCTTACTATTTACGAAGACACACTGCCTATCAGTGACATAGACGGTCATTTTAAGATAAATGCAAATGTTAGCAGGAATCTCGAATCTCCTCGTTTCCCTGCTCGTTAACCCGGTTACAGTAAATCACATAGTTAACGTATTCTTATTCAACCATATTTCTTCTTCCTAGACATTATCAGTGCGCGGTTAACGAGTTTTAGAATTTTAGAAACGTACGTTCACAGCGTTAAACAAATCGAGTAGGTAGAGAAATTAGACGATTAGATAATTATTGCCACGAATTATCATTCCAAAAGGTCATAAAATTATCAACAACGACGATATAGTTTCGAAAGTTTTTTTTGTCTACATCGAATTTTCAAACGATTCACCGTCGCGTTGCGTACAATGTTAATTTTAATTAGCATCTTCTAATTACGCTTTAAAATTGCCATTACTACGCGAGTCGCAAATAGCGAGAAGGTTGCGAATAAAGATTGACTTAATTGCAACGCCGCAGTTGTGTGCCCACCGAGATGCATTCTTTGCCGAAGAAATCGCAATATCAAATTCGAATGGCTTGCATGTGCGGCAACAGTAACACTACACCATTGATAGAGTCAAAAAGATAATAATCAGACGAAAATAATAATCAGAAACGACAAAAATTCATATAAAAGTTGAAAGGGATATATAAAAGTTGACGCTTTGACGAAATTAATGAAACAGAGAGCCGGTTAAAATGGATCTCGATATCTACAAAGAATTTTATTAATATATTTAAAGATTTAGCTACCAATCTGTATATATATGAATAATTTTGTTAAATCATTAGAATAATTATATTACATATAGGCTGATTATTAAAATACCAAAAAATTTTTTTACAGCATTGTTCATCATTATTCGAATTCCTACATAAATATTTTGATGGTCCAAGATCACAGAATTATATATTTTCAGATATATATCTATCTAAATTTTTAGATATTTCAGCGAGATCATT